GAGAAGCAAGCTGCCATTGACGAGGAGGTACAAAAGCTGTTACAGGCAGGCTTCATCAGAAGAGTGGAATACTCTGAATGGGTCTCCAACCCTGTGCTCGTCAAGAAGCCAAATGGCAAATGGAGAATGTGCATTGATTTCACCAATCTCAATGACGCATGTCCAAAAGACCCTCACCCGTTGCCAAACGTAGAGAAGTTAGTAGAATGGGCAGCAGGACATGAAAGGATGAGTTTTCTTAATGCAATCTCGGGTTACCACCAGGTCCAGTTGTTACTAGACGACCAGGAAAAAACAGCTTTTTACGCTGGTGACGCAATATACTGCTATGTCATGATGCCGTTCGGCCTCAAAAATGCCGGAGCAACATACTAGAAGCTGGTGCAAATCATCTTTAAGCTCCAGATCGGCAGGAACATAGAAGTGTATGTAGATGACATGATAGTCACCAGCGTGCGGGCTGAGGATCACATTGGCGACCTTGATGAAACTTTTCGAAATTTGCACCGAGCACAAATGAAGCTGAATCCTTTGAAATGCACATTTGCTGTAGAGTCGTGAAAATTCCTAGGGTACGTGGTATCCAAGAAAGGAATTGAGGTAAATCCAGAGAAGGTTGAGGCCGTTCAGCAGATGGAGCCACCAAGGACTGTCAAAGACGTGCAGCGTTTGACGGGGCGTGTTGCTGCGTTGCACAGGTTTATAGCCAGATCCGCGGAAAGGTGCCTTCCGTTTTTCAAAGCTCTACGGGAGCCTAAGAACTTCCAGTGGACTGATGAATGTCAACAGGCATTTGACGAGCTCAAACGATATTTGGCATCCGCACCTTTGCTGTCCAAGCCTGTCGATGGAGAAAGTTTGTACCTTTATCTGGGGGTCACAGAAGAAGCAGTGAGTTCAGTACTACTGAGGGAAGAAAATAAACATCAGAAGCCTATCTGCTATGTGAGCAAGGTGTTACAAGGTGCCGAGCAGAACTACCCGCTAGCAGAAAAGGCTGCTTTTGCTTTGGTTTGTACGGCTCGTAAGTTGAGAGCTTATTTTTAGTCTCATCAGATTGTTGTTTATACTGATTTCCCGCTAAGAAAAATATTGCAGAAGCCAGAGCTCTCTGGTCGGCTCATCGGATGGAGTGTAGAACTGAGTGAGTATGACCTTAAATTTCAGCCGCGCACAACTGTAAAAGGCCAAGCTGTGGCAGACTTCCTAGTTGAATGTGCCCCGGCGGCTGTCAAAGAAAAGGTACCTGAATACCCAGTTTGGGTTTTGTATGTAGATGGAGCTGCTAATGTCGAGGGATCAGGTGCTGGAGCTGTGTTACTGGGCCCTGATGGCTTCAAGTCTGACCATGCACTAAGGTTTAAGTTTCAGACAACCAATAATGCTGCAGAATATGAAGCCCTAATATATGGACTGAAGCTGGCGGCCGAGCTGAAGGTATAAAGTATTCAGGTCTTCAGCGACTCTCAGCTTGTTGTCCGCCAAGTGAATGGCAGTTGCGACATCAAGGATCCCCAGCTCAGTCGTTATGCCTTTGTGGTCAACAGATGGAAGTCAAGGTTCGCTTCATTTCAGATCGACAAAATACCACGGGCAGATAACCACCGAGCTGACGAGCTGTCAAAGTTAGCCTCCTCGTAGGATATTAACCCTCAAAGATCAACAATCGTCGAGGTGCTCGACGCACCAAGCTACATTGATTTCACAGTCGACTGTCAACTACTCAGTACAGATCCCTCTACACCGAGCTGGACTACCCCACTCATAAATTATCTACAAAGTGGCGAGCTGCCTGAAGATCTGTCCGCTGCGAAATTGATTAAACGAAGGGCAGCACATTTCACTTTATTAGATAACCAGCTCTACAAACGAGCAACCTCAATGCCCCTATTACGTTGCCTTACTCCTTACGAAGCTGAATACGCTGTGAGAGAAGTTCACGAAGGAGTATGTGGCACGCACATCGGTGGCAAAACTTTAGCTCGGAAACTCCTGAGGCATGGTTATTACTGGCCCTCTATGGTCGAGGACGCACAGAGGTATGTCAAAAAGTGTCCGACCTGCCAGTTCAATGCTGATGATATACACATGCCAGGTACCTGAGCCTATCCTAAAGAGCATGCAAACTCTGTGTTTGTCTCTAAGCTAAGTATAAGTATCTTCCTTGAAACAGGGGAAATGCTATCATCTCTCACGTCTCCCTGGCCCTTTGCTCAATGGGGTGTCGACCTGCTCGGCCCTTTTATCAAAGGTAAAGGAGGCAGCACTTTCCTGGTCGTCGCAGTGGATTACTTCACTAAGTGAATAGAGGCTAAATCGCTGTCCACGACCACAGAAAGGAAAATAGAAGAATTCTTGTTCAATTCAATATTGTGCAGGTATTCTTTGATGATTGAGCTCATATATAAAATATAGGCAAACGTGATTTGTAGCTCAGCTCGCTCATCTGTGCGCAGGTTCGGCATACCTAAGCGAATTATCGCCGATAATGGGCCACAGTTCCGGGCGGCAGCACTGAGATCGTTCTGTAACGACTATGGCATTGAGCTCGCCTTAACATCCGTGTATACTCCACAGTCCAACGGGCAAGCCGAGTCCGCCAATAAAATCGTCTTACGAGGCCTTAGGACACGTGTTTTGGCCGCGCATTCTAATTGGGTTGACGAGCTCAATAAAGTGCTTTGGTCCTGTCGCACCACACCCAGTTCGGCCACGGGCGAAACCCCTTTCAGCCTGGCCTATGGAGCTGAAGCCGTTATCCCAGTAGAGGTTGGATTGCCATCCGATCGAGCAGGCCGGCATGACGACCTCAACAATGAGCAACTTTTGAGAGAGAACCTGGACTTCGTAGAAGAGGTCAGGGAGATGTCTAGAATAAGAAACGTGGCATATCAAAACCGTGTTGCAAAATTTTACAATAAAAGAGTCCGAGCTCGCCAGTTTCAAGTTGGCGACTTGGTCCTACGTAAAGCTGGATTAACTAACACTCGTTCGCACATGGGCAAGCTCGCTCCTAATTGGGAAGGCCCCTATATGGTTGTTCAAGTTAAACGACCTGGTTCTTACGTGTTAACAGATATACAAAGGCGTCAGTTACCTTACATTTGGAACATACAGAATCTTAGAAAATTTTACAGTTAACCTGTATACTATTCTTTTATTCAAGTCGTTATTCGACAGTTGTAAACAAGGGCATACCGGAAATACAACAAGAATTCAAAGAAATATTCATTTTTGTATTTCATCAAAGATGTTTACATTGAACGTACATGCGATATGGATCCATTGATCAAATACAAAAATGCAAAAACAAAGTACAAAAAATCAAAAGAAAAAACCCTAAATCTAGTCATCCGTCAGGTCGACGGGCATGGATGCATCAGCAGCGGCTGTAGGGGAGCGAGCAGAAGGAGATCGGGCTGCGGGCTCGGAGGCTGGCGCGCTGACCGGTGAGCTGACTGACACCCCAGCGGGCTGAGAGTTGGGCGGGGTGCTAGAAGGCTCCTGCTCAGCCACAGGAGCACCCTCTACCCAGGCGTCAAAGGAGGGCAGTCCTGCTGGATCCTCCCCGTCCTCCAGCACGGACGGTGGCCAGACGGGCACACCCTCCTCGTTCAAATCCCACCTCAGCCTCACAGTTGTGTCAGCGAGGGGAGCAAGGCTCTTACCCTGCTCGTCGAGCTCCTCCTCGTCAAAGAAGACCAGCTCGCGGATTGGAAAATCTGGGCGGTGGTGCAGCAACTTCCCACGAATCTCATTGTAGACCTCCGTGGTTACGTTTGCAGACGCCACGGCCACTGCGTCTTGGAATGCGGCTGAACCGACCAGCCACTCTGCGCCTTGAGCCCGTGCCATCGCGATAGAGCGCCCGTGAGTGACCTTCAGCTCATTCAAAGCCTCTTCAGCTGCGTTCAGATTCCGGGCAGCTTCAGCGACCTTATTCCTTAAGGTGCCTAGCTCGTGCTGAGTGCGGTCCCGATCGGCCTCGGCCTTCTTCGCCCGTTCCTCAACCCAGACGGTTTCCTCCTTGGCCGCCTGAATCCCACTTTCCTTTTCAGCGCGCGCTCAATCCAACTCCTCCCGGAGCTCGTTTTTCCTGGCAACGAGCTCGTCTGCTCGGCTCTCCGTGGCAGCAGCTCGATTCGCCATCTCAGAGCCTTGCAGACGATTCACATCGTCCACAAGGCTAGCCTTCTCTGTGGCCAGCTGTTTGCACTTTGCTCCGAGCCCGGTGTTCTCTGTACGAGCCGCCTGCTCGCTCTCGTACAGTGCTACCGCGTAGCTGAACGCCTGCCAAACAGTTGTCACATGTTAGTCTCTGAAAAGAAAAAGCAAAATATTCAAGCAGCTACGAGCAGGTACTTACATCCATTAATTTGATCATGGCGACCTGACCGCCATGCTGTTGCACAAAGGCTTTGGCCCGCTTATTGTCTAAGGGGGGCACAAAACTGTGCATGGCTTGCACCATGGCAGGCTGGCACTCTGCCCGCACATAGCTGGCACTCTGCCCGCACATAGCTGAAGCCCTCAGGATAAGCAATCCTGGGGCCCATTGAGGCCGATGCAGAGGCGGGCTCCACTGCTGCCCGCACAGTCGCTGACGGTGCGTTGAGCGAACGCACCGTTGTAGGACGAGCCGCTTGAGCGGGCTGAGTCCCCCCGCTTCTTATGCGCCTGGCAAGGGGGACTTCATCCTCCTCGCTCTCTGTCTCCTCGTGCGTGCGCCTGCGCGCGCCCGGGGCCGTCGTCTCAGCTCTGTGATCCGCTCGTGGCCTTGACGACGAGCTGGATCCCCGGTGTGAAGAGCCGCGTGGTTGAGGCGCTGGGGGTGGCCGCTCGTCGAACCGTGTTTGCCGGGGTTGCGCGCTACTCGCCCGACGCCCTCGGGAACTCTGGGCACGTTGACGCTGACGTTCCAGTATGCTGCTCATTTCACCTGCACAAACAAATGTATAAGCCTCAGCTCGGCTAGAATCCATGTTATATGATGAAAATATACCTTCGCTGATCAAGTTTGTCACATCGACAAACCCGAACACGGCGAGCTGCTCCAAGGTAACCAGGGCCTCTAGATCTATCAAACCCTCCCCCTGCGCGTACTTAAGCAGCTGGTTCTTCAGATCTACATCCCGGGGCAGTAGCTGGGGGTAGTTGATGTGGGCGTTTGGCGTGCGCCACTCAGACAGCCGGGCAGCGAGGTCATTGCTTATCCTTTCTGCTCATGTGTCGCGAACAAAAATAAACTGTCTCTTCCACCTCGCCACTTTGTTCCTCACGTTTTTGAAGAGCTGGCTCTTATCCCTCCCAGAGAGGTAGTACCACTTCGCTCCTCGTGAGTTGGGACACAACCGGCACTGGAATAGCGACCTAAACACTATAGCTTTAGCTGGCACCTCCAACCTTGCGCACAACAGCATAAAGCCTATGATGAACCTTATGCTGTTGGGCGTTAGCTGCGTCAGCGCCAGCTCGTATTCTGCGAGCAGATCGAACACCAGGCCGGGCAGGGGAAACCGCAGGCCGGCGTCAAAGTGGTCCGCATATACTGGGATCCAACCCGTCCGCGACACCGTGCACGCCCTTTCGTTCTACCCGCCAGTCCGCAGCAGTATGGTTTTGGGGATGTGGTACGCCCTCACCATCTCCTCAAGCCTTTTATATCCACTTATGGAGGGCGTACAATCTGCTACTTCGTGATGAAGTGCAGCCCTGAACCTGAATCCAGCGGGCAGGTCCTTCGGTGCTTTTCGCAGGTTGCTCAGCCTGCCCGGGATCGTCGTGCTTTCCCATTCCCCAATCACCGGCCGATCTGAGACACTGCTCACCACGTCCCCCATCCCTTCTTCGCGGCTGGGTGTCTCTTCGCTAGACGAGCTGCTCGACGACGCACTACGGTGGTCGTCACCGTTGTCGCTGGCGCTGGAACCGGTGCTGTTCTCAGACGCCGTTGTTTCCGGTACATCCTGCAACTCCGGCGGCACTATCATAGTGATAGGCTCCACGGACAAAACCCCTTCCTCTTCTCCCTCTCTGCCCTGGTTACCTCGTTGCTCTGTGAGTTCTCTCAATGAAACCATTTTTACCTGAAACTGATGTGAAGTCGATTCGGTGTGCTGTTCTTCAGGCTAGAGCGTTTCGCTTCAGAGAATTTTTGGAAAGTTTAAGCAAATGCAAAATTGAAAATGAAAAAGGGGAACGGTTACGCAGAGAAGGATAGTAGCGTTAATTGCCGTACGCGTGTTTCTGACGCGCCAACTAGCGTCCCACACGTGGCAGACGCTTAACGCCTCTCCTGCATAACGTGCGCCGACTTTAGCTGTCACGTCCCTCGAATGCTGATCCAGCATTTATGACGGGGAAGGCAGAGAGATATGGGAAGCTCAATCGTATCTCTTCAGAGATTTGCTTAACTCAAAAATCCCCAAGATTCAGATCGTAACTGCTGAGGTGTACCCTATACTGTCATGTCAGCTCGCCATGGCGAGCACACTTACCAGGTCGTTACAAAGATGACATATTTGCCAGATCTGCTCAATCGTGCCAATTCGTTCACGAGTGTAGATCTTTCACTAAGATTCAGCTCGTCACATATCGTGATGACGAGCACGTTTACCAGGTCCTTACATGGATTGTAGCTCACACCAGACCGCAAGCCTTTGCATAAATTAATGGGTGCATGAGGTCGCCCTATTCGACAACACTACTCGTGCGAGCTGGTAAAGTGACGGTCAAAAACATCAAATCACACTGCATGTGAGGTCGCGTCGCCTCACTTCGTGATCATAGCTAACTGAGTGTCACCTGGTCACACTTCGGTAATGCTCCAAGGTCAGGTCGCCTTACGTCCGAGCTGAAAGGGCGTTATATACGTGACTTGTCCATGTGCGAGCTCGTCTGTTGCGAATCACTTCAGCTCGCCGCCATAACCAGCCCACACTAATGTGGCTATGAATACCGGCTCGCCCACACATTTTCAAGCTTGTGAGCTCGCCTTTTTTCGTTTTACCTTTCGGCTCGGCCCTCATCGAGGTCGACGGCCCCGTCGCTACATCCATCCCAGTTCGTCAACCAAACACTGGGGGGGGAGTAATGTTGGGATAGGCCCAACACCCAAACAGGGCTGTGTGAAACGGGCCTAGGCTACCACCCATTAGCCCAAGCTGAAGGAACATCAGTGCAAGCATACCCACGTGACCAATGCCACGCGGGTCAAGGGGATGCTTACACGTGCAGATGTATGTCAGTGCCAAGGGGCTATAAATACCCCCCAACTACCTCCGATGAAGGTAATTAATCTCTACGCTTCTCTCTCT